GCTCTGCTAGAAATATACATGATAAGTGGCAGATGTCAGAAAAAGAGGGGAAAGTTATAACACTCCATTCTCCTTGAGACTTAAGGAGTTTATATAGTTGTTCTCGTTTAGCCTTTGAAGTGAACCCTGATGCATACAGAAGAATAAATTGAAAAGAACATTAGACACAGTCTAAACCAGTGATCTTCAAATGAGTCAGAAACTCAGGGCGAGGGTACTGCGTTTTTAACAAACTATCTAGGTGATTCCAATAGCCAGTTCAGCATTTGTGAGAGCCCAACATTTGGGAACATAGGGTCTAGTAAATACTCTTATTTTACAGATAAGAAAATGAAGATGGACAGAAAATTTTTAAAATTGTTGGAGGTATTAATGTATTATGGGCTAGAAACCATATTTTCTGACACCCAGCATATCACATCTTCCCAGGAGGTCACAGTGCTTATTGGAGTGGTCACCATCAAGATATTAGCCACTTGCTTTCCTCCATAGACAAGGTGTCCTTAGCACCCTAAGCTTTGAGTTGTGGCTCTTGAAATGTCCTGAGGTGTCTGTTCCGGGCTCTTTCTACTTCAACACACTGCTTTCAAGGTTGAGGCACTTAATTAAACTAAACTGCTGTGTCTATGAGAAGGCTACTAGATCACTCTTCTCTATTCTATCTTTTTGTTGTTTGATTTTCATGAATTCTTTGAATTTATATTCCATAGATTTCCGTCCTTAGCCTACTTATAAACAGCAGTTGGGCAGTAAAGTGAACATATGGTATTGTTCAATACAGGTAAAAATGATTTGTCAAATATCAGCTAATGGTTCCACATTAACTACATCCTGGCACTCTGAATCTAAACACCCAACTTTCCTAGAACTAGGAGTGAGTATGATGAACTTTGCTTCGTAAGTTTCCTGAATAGACAGGACATAACCAACATATATAAAGAAAAAGCACTTATCCATCTATGCGTTCATTCCCCAGATATTATTGGCCATGTGCTCTATACTAATCCTGATCTAGACATGGAATACAGTTGTGAGCAGGAGAGAAAGTTGGTCTATTCTCATAGAGCCTAAGTCCTAGAGGGAGATTGTATGTGAAGCCCATTTAAACAAGGCTGTGCAACCCCTAGAATATAAGCTTCATGAGGGCGGAGATTTTTACCTGTTCTGTTCATGGCTCCTTTTCCAGTGCCTAGGCAGTACCTGACACGTGGGAGGTGCCTGGTGAATTTAGTGAATGAACAATCATCCGATCAAACAGAAACTATGGCCCCTCCCAAATTAACTGTTTCACAAAAAGAAATAGAATAAGTAATGTTTAATGAGAAGTATTATTTATAGAGGGGATTAAATCATCATTTCCATTGGTTTCTACTGTGCTGTATTTTTATAACCTCTAAAAGCCTTTTGTGAAAAAAATTTTGTATCCGAATGTGTATACTCTTAGGTGTGTAGATGACCTATGTAGATATTAACACACATGGCTGGAAATACATACATATTATATACCTATAAAGATTTAAATAGTCATAATATTTGTTTTATAAAATAACTCATACTTTTAGGTACAAGCTAAAGCAGTCAAGGATGAAATGGTTTCACAGAACTAGGATGTTTGTTGTGATAAAATAAAAAGGACATTTAGGAGAGCTGTGTTATCAACAGCTGACGTCTGTTCAGGTTGTAAGGGCTGTGGTGGTCGTCATTTTATGGAGGCTTCTAATCTCTCAGCTTTCAAAACATTGAAGAGCTGATACTGAACAGATGTGGATTCCATACATGGTGATTCTCTGCCACCATCTCCAACAAAGTCTGTCTCTACTGGTTGAAAGGGTGGTAACCAAGCTAGCAATACAAAATAAAATGAGAGAGTTTGAAAATAGCTTGTGATTGATAAAGCACAAGTACCTCAAAATAATAGAATTCTCTAAGATAATTAGTTTATAATCCAAGTAGGGAAAATTGGTTTTATAAAAATTTCTGATAGGACCACTCTAATGTTCTTATCTATGAACAACATTACATTCCTTCTTCCTACCTGAGGAAACAGCTGTTGGGATTTTGTTTTTGTTTTTGTTTTTGTTTTTATGAGACAGACTGGAAACTGACCTAATAACCTCCAAAAGGAAAAGTCTACCCTAAGTCATTGTAAATTATATCATTTCTCCCTCTCTCCTTACCTTGCAATCTCAAGATACAAAAGCTCCTCAACTTCCTAGCCTTCAACAAATACCACTTTCAACACTTTTAACATACCTTTTCTGTTAAACACTGAAAGATAAGAATGTTGAAAGATGCTGAATGTTGAGCTGGTTAGAACAGGAACAGAATTGAAAGTAGTGAGGAAATGGCAAATTTGTTGTGGAAATGAGTTGTTTGACAGGAACAATTCTGTGGAGCTCCCAGTTTGTGCATCATTTGAAAAGTCCTGTGCTGGAGCAATCCATACTAATCAGCAAGAGACAAGAGAAAGGATGAACAATTGAAAAGGTGGGAAGCTTGTGACCACAGGATCAACCTCAATGTCAGCTATCTCTTAACCTAAAATGAATTTAAGAGACAGCTGGGAGTTTGAGAACTCAAAGACTAAGCAAATTGTGAAATGCTGTTGCTAAAATTTTGGTCACAAGCCATGGATTATTACTTGGATCAAAGCCAGTTCCTGTTTGCGTACTGACAAAGTTTAGTAGCTAGGTCATGAGTACATCTATACAGACATGCACAAGGGCTCCCTATGAACTGCAGATATTATAGTGGAGAAAGAGGGATTTTCAGTGTAGACAAAACTATTTTGGGAGAAGATGTCCACAGACACACAAGTCAATATAAAATATCTGAGCAGAGAGAAGAATAAGCCTAGTTTTTACATTTCTGCAAGAACTGACTCCTATTCCTTGTGGCATAATGCATCTCAGGATTAAGTTCAAACTCTTCGTAGTTCACTGAAAATCTAGATCCCTAAAAAATTTGAAGAGCAGATTGAAAACTCCAAATTCTTTGTTATATTACATTGGTTGCAGAAGCCTTTTGTGTCATAGAAAACATTCAAGTCACAATTTTAACTTAGAGTGGTTTGTGATGGTGCTAATACCTGAGCAGTGTCTTCTAAGTTACTTATTATGAAAATAAGAAAAACAAAATGCAGGCATCTTTGTATAAATTTTTTAAAAGATTATAAAGAAGCAAGAAGAGTCAGGACCAATGTTACATAAACATCTTTTCTCTCAAGTAGTAATTTGACTTAGGAACAAAATGGTCTCAAGACCTAACCTATTTGCAAATTGAACAGTTCTTACTCTGTGCAGAGGTAGCAGGAGTTTTATTCTGAAGTCTACAAAAATGAGCTGATATATCAACAAAGATTAATACATTGATTGTCTCTATCATGTTAAGATATATAATACATTTGAGTATATGTGTTAATTTTAAATTTTTAATAACTAAAATATTTTAAATAAAGTCTGACCCCATATAGAATGTCTTTTTTTTTTTTTTTTAAGATTTATTTTATTTTAGAGAGAAAGTGCCGGGGGCAGGGGGGGCACGCAGAAGGAGAGAGAGAATCCCAAACACACTCCATGCTGAGCGTGGAGCCCTGTGTGGGGCTCACTCGATCTCACAGCCCCGAAATCGTGACCTGAGCTGAAATCAGAGTCAGATGATTAAATAACTGAGCCACCCAGGCACCCCTAGTATGTCATTTTCAATTCCACCTTTCTATCATCCCTGGTGGGGTGGGGAGTGGAGGTGGGGGTCTTTCAACATAATACAATATAGTAAAAATTATGCCAAAGGAAGTGGAAGAGACCCTGGCCCCACAGATTACTTACTGTTTATACAGGAGGAAACATGTTGCTACAGTGGAACCATCTGATAGTCACCACCTTAACCAAGTGATCAAATTTATAGCACTACTAAGAGCGGGGACAGCCTGACATTTTGTGCCTCCCGAATTGATACAAAATTAAGTGTTTTGTATAAAATACTCATGGCAGAAACGTTTAAGCAAGCTTTTTCAGACCCAACTTTCAGTTTGCAAGCAAAACAGGGACAAGTTAAATGACACAGTGAAAAAATAATATGACAAATCAAAAAAGTTAATGATTTTCAGAGTGCCTGGCTGGCTCAGCCAGTCGAGCATGCAACTCTTTTTTTTTTTTTTTGAAAGATTTTATTTATTTATTTGAGAGAGAGAGAATGAGAGCACATGAGAGGGGGGAGGGTCAGAGGGAGAATCAGACTCCCTGCCGAGCAGGGAGCCCGATGTGGAACTCGATCCAGGGACTCCAGGATCATGACCTGAGCCGAAGGCAGTCGCTTAACCAACTGAGCCACCCAGGCGCCCGAGCATGCAACTCTTGATCACGGGGTTGTAGGTCTGAGCCCCACATTGGGTGTAGACATTACTTAAAAATAAAATCTAAAAAAAAAAAAAGTCAATGATTTTCATGAAAAAGTTAATGGTTTTTATTTTTACTTCTTGAAAAATGGGGAGGATCTAGTCAAGATTTAAGACTAACCAGAGATACAAAAACCATGTGCAATGTGTGAATCTTGATTAATTCTGGTTGGGGGGGAAGCTATAAAAGATACTTTTGGGACAATAGGAGAAATTTGAATATGGATTGTATGTTAGATGATATGGAATTATTGTTAGTTTGTAACATTCGATAGCAGTCATGTGGTTATGTATGAGACATTCTGTGCTTATAAAACGTGCTGAAGCTTGGTGGGGTGAAGAGTCATGATGTATGGCATTGTCATGTCTAGATAGAATGTATACGTGTGCTCAGTATCCTGTCCTTTCAACTTTTCAGTGTATTTAAAAGTGTTATATGTATATAGTTGTATAGAGATACAACTCTGTAGATGTATAAAGAGATACATGGTAGGGGACCAAGGGAGAGAGTGTTGACCTTTGTTCTTGGAGAAGTACAAGTTATAGAAGCACTAAATAATTTTTGAAGAACTAACAAATTAATTTCCCCTTCTTTCTACTTTAGGCTCAAGAAAAAGGAAGATTAGACTATGCTAAGGTAAGTAGATTTTATATATACTATACAGTTTTATACATTTCAGTTTGGTGTGTGGTTTTTGTTTATATTTGAAAGGTCAAAAGAGAATCATCCCTTTCAAAGTTGGGGGACACTCCCTGTTAAGTAACAGGCATTAGCAGGTAAGTGTACTTACTGAGTGCCTAGTTCATCCCAAACACTGTTAGGTGTTGAGACTACAACAGTAATCCAGATGAAGTGTTTTCTTTTGGGACATTTACAGTCCAGTGTGGGAGATAGATAACTAATAAACAACTAAATGGATACATCATATAAAGTCATGTGGTGGTAAGTGCCATGAGGAAAAATAAACTGGGTAAGATCACTCACCGTTGCTAGAAAGATGCCTTTGGCATCTTTGGCTTTTAGCGCCATTAGATAACACGTGAGAAGCACCACACAGAGCAGACTCAGACTCCTAAAAGTAGTAGTTTTCACATCATCTGTGGAGCTTTTGAAAACACGCATGCCTAGGTGCAGCATCACACCCTCTTTCACCAAGATCAAAATCCCCTGGTGGGGAGAGCAGGGCAGGGGCAGGAAGGAAGTATTTGAAAAAAGGCTCCACAGATCATTCCGACACACAGCCTTGTTTAAAAACCGCTGTGAGAGTTCAGATTGCAGTGCACCAGTGCAAGCCTCCGAACACACTTGGGTCACATTCTGTGCTCCCCCCGGGGAGAAATGGAACATTGTAGCAGGTGCATGGGCTGCATATAGCTACTTGGCTAAAGGAAGGCGCTAACCATCTGGTTTATGCAGCAATCAGGACTATCCTGGGTATGAGCACACCTGCACTCCAAAGACAAGGAGGAGGAACTACAAGCTGTAAGGGCTCTGCTCGCAGTGGGACAACTGAAACCCAAGATGATCTCTCAGGGCTGATCTGGAACCTCGTGCTCTCCTGACAGTCCCCGGGGGGGTACACCCATGGCTCCATGCATTTGCTCTCTTTTCCTTGACTGAGATGCAGTTCCTCCTTCTCTCTGTCTCACAAACTTTTGCTTCCTTTCAGAAAAACTAGATAAGAGCACCTCTAAACTGAGGGCCTCCATATGCATCACTCTTCTTAGATGTCTACTTGACCCTATGTACCCAAACTCGGGCTGTGGACATATCCTCCTGGGTCGCCCACAGGCATCTTAAACTGAACTCACCATCTTGTCTGACATCCCTGGTCTTTTTTTTTTTTTTTTTTTTAAGCTTTATTTATTTAAGTAGCCCCTACACCCAATGTGGGGCTCAAACTTATGACCTCCAGATCAAAAGTTGCATGCTTTTGTAACTGAGCCAGTCAGGCACCCCTAAATAGACCTTACTTTTTAGAGAAGTTTTAGGTTCACAAGAAGATTGGGCAAAAGTATCAAGAGTTACCATATCCCCTGACCCTACGCACATGCAGCCTCCCCTACTATCAGTAATCTGCAGGAGAGTGATATATTTGTTGCAGTCAGAGAAACTACATGGACATATCATCAGTACCCAAAGTCCATGGTTTACATCAGTGTCCACTCATGTTGTATTTCTTGTCCTTTTAACTTATTCTCTCTCCTGTCATCCCCCCAGTCAACCCTGTGAGAATCTTAGAAGTCACCCTTGACAGTTCCTACTCCCTCACCCCCAGGTTCTTTACCAAGTCATGCCATTTTGGTATCCTACGTTTTCTTAAATCCAGCCCCTCCTCTTGATCTGTCTTCCATTACTTACATTGAATTTCTTCACCTGACCACTGGAAAGCCTACTGACTGGTCTTCCTAACTTTGTCATCACAAGTCCATTACCAACTGGAATGTCTAAATCATAAACCTGACAGTTTCAGACTCCAGCTTAAAACCTGCCATTGGCTCATGTCATTTATAAGGCAAATTCAAAGCTTGCTAGATGATTTCACCCCCTAGAGGGACTCTCCAGCATCATCTCTTCCTACCCTGTGTTCCAGCAGCACCAGATCACACAAAACGTACTGTTTCTGTTTTCCAGGCCTTGGCTCATGCTGTCCCCTCTGCTTGAAATGCCCTTCCCTCTTTATCAGCTACCCCTGTTCTTTCTGTAAGGCTCCAGTTAGGACCATCTCCTACAGGTAGTCCTCCCTGGTTCCCCAGGCTGGATTAAGTGCTTTCCTTCATTCTTTAATACTTCGTGCATCTCTCAGTCATTGTACTTACTCTGTAATATAATGCCCCATTTATGGGACAGACTATACACTGTGAGCTCTTTGAGGGCAGGGACATTGTCTTATTTGTCTTTGTATACTCAGTGGTTAACATGGTGTTTGGCACATGGTAAATGGTGAGTGACTGAATGAGGGAGGAAGGTAGGGAGGGAGTGGATGAATGTAGAAAATGGAAGAGTAAGAAATGAGTAAGAAAAGAGAAGACACATGAAGTTAGTTTCAGGAGTAGGATTTTTTATCTCAATCAGAGAGGAAAGATGCTTTTGATATACGTTGCAGATATCAACAGGGTTAAAAAAATTGTTTGGGAAGGCTGTAATATACTAGCTTGGAGATAAAGGCTGGGATTTCACTATGTGGTAGTAAAGGAAAACTAACAAAAAGAGTCGGGGAGGGCGCCTGGGTGGCTCAGTCGTTAGGCGGCTGCCTTCGGCTCAGGTCATGATCCCAGAGTCCTGGGATCAAGTCCCACATCGGGCTCCCGGCTCAGCGGGAAGCCGGCTTATCCCTCTCCCACTCCCCCTGCTTGTGTTCCTGCTCTCGCTGTCTCTGTCAAATAAATAAATAAAATCTTTAAAAAAAAAAAAAGAGTCAGGGAAAAGTCAACACAATTTGGCAATAGAATGACTGTTGGTCATTGATGTTTATTCATGACTCAGAGAACTCCTTCAGGGTTTTTTATCGCAGAGGCACATGACAGTTGAAGATGTTAAGAGAAAGGATAAAACATGATGCACAGATAGAACACCCCTGGGCGAAGCAGTGGCTTGGCCACCAACTCACTGCAAAATCTAGTATCACTTACCCTCTCTTGTCTTTCTTCGGGTTGCTTCATATACAACGAGCAGTTTCGAAGAGTGCTAGTCAATTCTTTGGACCCATTCCACATTCGAGAGAAGACGTTCTTCTTGAGGGTTGGGGGGCATTCTTATCTTGTACACCTGAGGTCCAGATTCATCCCTTCATCCACTCTATCCACCCAGCCCCTGTGCATGGAACAGTTAATATGTGCAAGGCACTATGCTAGTGCTGCCTGTCACCGTGAGCAAGACTGATGTAGGCCTTGCCACCACATGCTTCCTTGGCTCAGACCTGCCTGTCTAAAGTAGCCACTCCCCGGGGCGCCTGGGTGGCTCAGTCAGTTAAGCAACTGCCTTCGGCTCAGGTCATGGTCCCAGGGTCCTGGGATCGAGCCCCGCATTGGGCTCCCTGCTCCGCGGGGAGTCTGCTTCTCCCTCTCCCTCTGCCTCTCCCCCCAACTCGTTTTCTCATTCACTCTGTGTGCTCTCTCTCCCTCAAATAAATAATCTTTAAAAAATAATAATAAAGTAGCTACCCTCCCTTTGCTCTATTTTTTCTTAACATTTATAATAATGTAGAATTATCATTTTCATTGAGTTGCTTGTTCCTGCTTTTTCTCTTTCACTGAAACGTAAGAGCTCCAAAGGCAGGGCCTCGTACATGGTCACATCATCTGTACCCAGCACAGGCGTCTATGTAGGAGGCTTGGTGACTGCATGCATGTGAGTTGCACTAGTGTTATTCTAGAAGTGTGGGAGGTTCTGGGAGGTCTGGAGTGGAGTATTGTAGACTTCAACAAACCACTTTAAGAATATGTTGACTATATAGCACAATCCATCTCAATGGTTAATAGCCCTAAGGTTGCCTTCCCAAGTGCCTAGTGACAATATTTCTCATGCCAGTAAACAGAACCTACCCCTCTGGAATATGTGGTACAGTTCTGACACTTAAGGGCCATCACTTGATCTAGGCAATTAATCTAAACTTATCATCCTTACACAGACCTAAACCCAAGTAACATGGGGAAAAAAAGATTATATCCATCTCTTCTAGGTATGGGGGAGATGTCTGCAGGGTCCAGTTTATGATACTGTCTCCCGTGCAGTGTACTGTGGGCCCATAGTAATACCTATCATGACCCCAGGTCTCTTCCTCTCTGTTTGGCATGATCATGGTGCTCGTGCTGACTGATGCAGGCCCCATGCTTATAGGTCAGGGCCACCCTTGTGGGATTATCTGTAAAAGGACATTTAAAAAAACTCAGCAGCCATTTCTGGAGATCATCATGAAATGTATTCATGGCTGGAAATTTTGTTACTTCCAAGTGATTGAGTATTTACCCAAAAGCCAAATTTTATCTGAAAAAATCCGATTCTGAGGACCATAGGAAATTATTTTGGCCATGTGCTCTGTGGCCTCACCTGCCATCTCTCAAATTCTGTTGGTCTCAGCAGGGCGAGGAAGTCAAGAAAGAGGGGGAAGAGGTGGTAACTTCAAAATCAGTCTTGGCTGGATCTTGAGACTGTCACTTCCCGCCAAACAGTGGTCTGTACTCAAACACTCAGATAAGAAATGGAATTACTTTTTAATTGAGTTCTTGTTGCGATCGAGTCTGGATATGAATGCTTTACACCGCCACAGTGCCTTTCATCTTAAGACATCAAAGCACTCGACAGCTATTAATTCATTACGTCTCTCCCACCTCTGTCAGGTGGTTAACGCACTCATGGGAGCACTCTACCTATCGCGGAAACTCATCCACCTGGAGTCTGGGCGAGGACAGGGGCTGTGTCACTGTAAGGCGATTCCACCCAGTAGCTTTTAGAATAGAAAAACGAGGAACGTCTTACTTACCTAGTTAAAACTGCGGAAGTCTTAGTAGACAGAATACAGTTACCAGAAGTGAACTGTGACCTGGAAAGCTGGTGCTAACACTTTGGCTCATATGCACAATACGATGGGGATCTTGTACAGTGACTGGTCTGCAGCCCCGGGTGTGTATCTCTCA